CCGGCACCTCAGATTTGCCCAAACTGGCCACTCCAGACCCCTCAACAGGATCCCTGGATTTCCAGGATTGGTTACAACTGGTAAATGGTTTGATGGGTGACCTTTCGGACACTTCGGGCTCCTGGTGGGCGGCTGCTCTGCAGGTGAGCCGTGACGCCTATGAGAGGTGGGTAGTTTCAAGTCCCATTGAGCGTTTGCGCATAGAGCCTGATGACAGACCGGAGTTGGTAGAGGGCAAATGGAGTCGGGTGAATGCTAGGGCGTGTGTGATGCTTTTGGGTGCCCTGGATGAGACGGTTAAGGCGGACCTCATAGCCCGTAAAACCACGCGGATGGCTACACACATTCTGTTCAGGTTGCACACCCAATACCTCCCGGGAGGGACGGCTGAGAGGTCTTTAGTGTTGACCAACTTGCAGCATCCAGCGGAGGTGGACAACGCAACGTCAGGCGTGTTAGCTTTGAGGGCTTGGGGTAGGTGGTATCAGCGCTGCGTGGATTGCGGCATGAATTTACCGGATCCCATGGTCCTGGTGAGTGCCCTCACCTCAATGACTAAGCCAGTGCTTCGTAAGGAACCGGAGGTAACATGGCGCACGGAGCTAGTGAAGAGCACATTGCAGCTCCACGGACGCCCCTCGGAAGAGGCGGTCAGGTCTTATCACAGGCATTTGTTGGCTGAGTTTGAAACGCTAGCCGGAGCAATGGTGCCAGTGAAGTCTGACGACGCCCACGTTCCACAGCTCAAGGCAGTGAGCGCAAATGAGGCAGGTGAACGTGTCAGTGGGGCGGGTGGCACACCATGCAAGTTCTTTTTATCGCCTAAGGGCTGCAGGTTTGGCCAAAAGTGCCGATACGCACATTCAATGGCCGAACTCTCTAAGGATGAGCGGTTTAAGAAGTGCTTGAATTGTGGTTCCGAGGAGCATCGCGCTAAGGATTGCAAGGCAGGTAAGGCGGAACCCAAAGCGCCAGATCAGAAACCGTCCGTACAGGCAGCTTTCACATCCTCAGGCCAACCCGTTGTCCAAGCCACCCCAGTGCTCAACATGGACACCTTCATGCAACAGGCAGTTCAAGCCTTAAGGCAGTTGGAGGCCAATCCACCGCGCAGCGACACCGCACCACATGCCCAGCCGCCTCAACCTCAGCCGGAAGGCTTGAGTACTGCATCGCAGCAGCCCTCAGCGCCACCGGCATCGTCCGTACCCGCATCGTCCACACCCATTCCTTCGGTGAAGAGGCTGACGATTCGCTCAGTCGTGCCCGTAAGCTGTTTCCCGGTTTCGGGCCCCCCAAACCGGGACTCCCAACCCCCCCATCAGGAGGCTCCAACTCGGGGGTTGGGAAATGCCGAAAATCAGGGTGGGACAAACCCCCATTCTCGAGCCGAGAATGGGGGGTTGTCTGTGGCCCCCAAACCCATAGCATATGCGCTTTTGGACTCCGGTGCCACACGCCCCATGCGGCAAGCATCATCTGAGGAGGAGTGGGAGGCCACAGAGGAGGTACAAGTGAGTTTAGCCGGCGACCAAACCACAATCATGCGTTTGACGCGCGTGGGCACTCTCCTACTGCCTCCCGGGAGGGACGGCCTGGTGCAGCCAATTGTCCCCATGGGTGCCATCATAGAGCAGTTGGGATACAAGCTAGTTTGGTCCGCTGGTAGTTGCAAGCTTTATCCTCCTGATGGTAAGTCGCTGAGGCTTCGGGTCAAAAATGGTTGCCCGGAATTGGTTGAGAGCCAGGCCCTCACATTGATATCACAGTTGGAGAAATGCACGGTGACCCGACGTGGGATTGAACGCAACACATCCCCAACTTCGCACCCCTCGGTTGCATCTCACTCACGCTTGAGCCCTCATACCACTGAACGCCCAGTGGAGGATGGTTCCCAGCGTAGTGGTTCCCACACGTTGTGGTTCAGGTTGGACGCCAGCGATGGGGATGACGACAATCCCGCAGGATGCAATATCAGCGATGGCATCAGGGATTTAAGCGTTTATGACTTGGATTGGACGCGCCTGCCACATTCCCCACTCGGAAGAGATGGGTATACAGCAATACCAGATCTACCGCAGTGGTGTACGGGTGAACTTTGTGTAGATGGTTCTGGGGCGTTGTGTGGGTTTGGGCCGCGTGACGTCCAGCCAACCGTCCACAAGGTCCTAGCCACCAAGCTAGGAGGAGAGCACGAAACCACAGTGCCCAATAGTGTTGCAGTCCCAGCAACCGCCTTCCGGGAGGGTGGGACCCACAACACACGCCGACGTCTGACGGCAAACCTCCTTTTCCAACTGTTGTTGTGGCTGCTCGTACTTGTCGTCCTTCGCATAAGCTTGCCTTCACTTTGCACCGGCGTGTTCAGGACACTGCCCTCAGCAGCTACAGGCACTCCAGTACCGTACTGGGTTGAGGAGGAGCCGTGCGTTAGGTTGCTTGGTTTTAGTGGCACAGTACCAGGACCTCCAGTCCAGGAGGAGTCCCAACAACTTTTCGCAGGAAGTGTGCCGCTCAAACTTTTGTGTTTTGCCGCAGTACCGAAAGGCCTTGTGACAGCAGCCTTTTGGAGCGTGCTCGGGTTTAACCTGTTCCGCACTGCGGAAGTAAGTGCAGTTGGTCAACGTGATCAGCCGGTGAGTGCTTTATTCAGGCTTGTTTTCTTCCTGCAAGTCATAGGCGCTGCTAGCCAGGCAGCAGACGAGGAAGAAGACTTGTCTCTCCCTGTGTCGCTTGATGCAGATTTGATGTTGGCAGTATCCATCATTTGCATTGGCATTTGCTTCATTGCAGTGTGGGAGTTCTGCAAGTGGTGCCTTCAAGGCGTCATCTCCCGCCGAAAGGCAGGGACACCCGTGTTGTCCCTGAGCCCCCGCAAGGCGCGTAAGTTACAGCGCCTTCGAGATCAAACTGCGCAGGCCATCCAGGCCGAGATCTCTGCACGTGAGGAGGCAGCAAGCTCGCAGTCTGTTGCTGCAGTGCCCAGACGCCGCCCCTCACAAACAACTCGCACGCGTGAGCAGGCAGGTGGAGCACCAACGCGCTACTTTGCAACACCCGAGGGGACCAAGCTCCACCGCACTAAGACCTGTTCCACGCTCGCCCACTCGCACAGGTTTGTTGAGTTTCAAGTGTGCCAGCAGTGCCACCGGAGTGCTGCCGACCACACCCAGCACAGCACAGGGTAGGAACTACTCCACCCTAACGGGTTGGATCTTTCAGTGAGCTTCATCTGCAGCTGTGTCTTTTTCCGCACGAGGTGCCTTGAGAGCCCTCGCAGAGTGAGGGCAGTTGGCCCAGCTTTTGCCAGGTAGTTCAGGGTAGGCATGGCGTCACCCTGACGGGTTGACCTGCAGTAGCAAGTAGGTCGCAACTCCCTGGCGGGGCTGCGAAGGAGGAGTGCTGAAAAGCATGCCACCTTTGTAGCTCACGTCACGTGTACATGTGAAACGTTTTCCTCTTTTGCTCTTTAGGCCCGAACAGTACAGCCTTGAGCAATGCATTTTAATCACATTTGCACATGCATCAACATTGGTGTCATGCCCTAGTCATGTTTCTGATCTTTTGCTTGCGTGTAAAACCTCCGTGTTCGAGTGAGCCATGGGCAGTTGGGAAGACTCTGCTAGGGGATTAGCTACCCGACTAGTAGCTTCTGCTTCTATGCCTGCTGGTTCACTCCAGCAGTACTTGTAACCTTACTTACTCAGTCCGATTAAAGGGAACTCCAGAAAGTTGGAATATGGATTAATGGTAGGATCCCCTATAATTAACCTTAAAGGGGTTACGATAATGATATTCCAACTTTCTGGCTTCTACTGTACCCTGCAAGTAGGCCAGACAATCAGATCTTAAGTTTCCACCTGTCTATGTCCTTACCTTTGGTTAGTAGGGAATAGGAAACTCCAGAAAGTTGGAATATGGCCCCATGGTAGGATACCCTATAATTTACCATAGAAGGGTTAGGATAATCATATTCCAACTTTCTGGCTTTAACCTTATAGTAGGGAATGGAGGAATTGGGTACAATTATAACTACTATTGCTACAGTACCATTCTTCCATTCCCTACTAACCAAAGGTAAGTGTCCTGGCTCAACCTGCCTCCTGCAAACCCGAAAGTCAAGACTTGAATACCCCTGCCACCTTTTCATCCCTTTACGAAAACTCGAACTCAGAAAGACCTCGTAAGGGCGTTCTGCTAAACCAGAATTTCCTTCAAGTCTCCCATGTTTACAACCGGAGCCCCTGACCCCAAGCCGCAAAACCGGGAGGATATGGGAGTTTCTGAAAATGGGGACCCCAATATAGCACCCTAAATAGTAGGATCCTTATTCTAAGGACCCCCCCAAATCAGGTACCCCTCATTTTCTGAAACTCCAAACCCTTACATATAGTACCCTTATAGTAGCCCTTTAAAGGAACCCCAAACTTTCGGAAAGCCCCAAGATCCCATTGGGATTTTGAAGTTTTGGGTTCCTACCCCCCCCCTTCCAGCTGCCCTTTATTGTGGTCCCTAATTCCCTCTTAATGAGAAATATCAGAGCCCTTTAAAGGGGTCCTTTGGGGGTCCTGGCAGGATTCGAAGCTGAAACTTGGGCTTCGGGTGAAACGTTGCCAGATTTTGATTTAGGCTTGTATCGCTCTGAGGCGGCTTTCGGCTGCATAGGGGCTTTGTCGTGCTTCTGTACGGTGTTGAAAATATGGCGACTTGAGTATCGCTACTACGACAGCGACTGCGACTACGCCGACGGCTCGATTACGACTACGACGACGCCGACAACTGTTGCTGTTGCTGCTACGAAGGCGACGACGTCCGCACGCTTGTCACAACTGGTACATGCATGCCGATTTCACAAGCAGCGCAACAGGAGCAGCCGCACAGGCCCAGGCCGGAACAGCAGTGCAACAAAAAACATCAAACCAGCACGTAACCCCAACCGCCGAACCATAATAGGCGTGAGACCCAGCACAGCAAGTTCATTCGAACTGGAGCCGTGCCACATGTACATAAACGGCCGTTCGACGGCTGCTGTCTCACGAGCACCTCGCACGGCAGTGATTGCGCAAGTTTCCTTAGACCTAGAGTCTGTAACCGCGGGGTGCGGACAAATGCAATCCAAAAAAACACTCCGATAGCCTTCCGTGTATAGGGGTTAGGGGGTTTGGATTCTAGGATTTCGGGGATTCCTCTCTGAGAGGAGCCGAAGGCTAGAGGTTTTAGGGTTCAGGTTTCCAGGGCCCCCGGCGAGAGAGTCTTACCGTCTTACCGGTTATCACGTTGTCGTAGTAATACAGACTTGGGAGTACCTTCTTTAAAGGTCCTTCTAATCAGGATCCTATCACGGCCTGCCAATGGAAAACCGTAGGTGATCCTGAGATAACGCGGCTGTATCTGCCAGTCTTTCAACACTTCCAACTTGCAACCCCCTCGTCAAAGATGCGGTATGAGGGCAGGACGCCATGCAGCACCCCCAAACCCCAAACCCTAAACCATACACCCCTAAACCCTAAACCAGCAACACCGTGGAACCCAAGCCCGTGGTGCGATTGTCGAAAAACCAAAACCTCCTAAGATCACTGAAAGGGCATCATGACATTAATATCAACTGCTCGTCAACAACATCAACAAACAGCGGGCGTCGGGTTCGTCATTGGCCATGCAGAGCACGAACACATGGGACGGCAAGATTTGACAGGGCTGCTATCTCATTTTTTCTCATTTTTAGGTTCGAACACTTCAAATCGTCGTACGGACAAATCAGGGGCAAGACGTTTCCTTCCAGTGTCGATGCCTTTGCAAGCACTGTCTCGTCCTATCCTCCACACAGGCCTTGGACAGGAACAAGTGAAACGTCGTCTCCGCTTCGTCAATGGAGGGCCCAGTGGTATGTGCAGGGTTCGTGGCCCTGGCCGACGTCGGGTCTCGCATCACCGCCGTCGGTGCCGCCTCGCTCGGCGAGCTGGGCACATCTGTGAGGGTTGCACGATTTAGGGTTTGGGGGTTTTAGGGTTTTAGGGTTTTAAGGCTTTAGGGTTTTAGGGTTTTAGGGTTGTAGGGCTTTAGGAAACTTTAGGGTTTTAGGGTTAGGTTTTATCAGCTTTTCGCGGTAGCGATCCGCCCCTTCAAGTGTCTGTTGATGCAAAGAGCCTGAGCGCCGTTTTGCCCATGGAGAGATCAGAGCAGCCGGTTCGTCAAGCCGCAGGCTTTCACCCGCATCCCTATACTGCTCAGGCCCCTGAACCCCAAACAGTATGCCATAAGCCCTCAGTACCTGTATCAAGAATCCGAAACCCTAAACCCAAAACCCTAAACCCTAAACTCAAAACCCTAAACCCTAAACCCTAAACCCTATAATCCTATAAGCCCTAAGCCCTGAAACCCCGAACATAAACGCCCTTGAACCCTAAACCATCTAAGCGCCTAAAACAAAAAAGCCACGAGCCGCAAAAGCAAACACAAACAAAATCCTATCCGAAACCTTCATAGAACCCCCACCCCTAACGGAATGCTAGGAATTGGAGGAAACCTTACCGGAAACCTCAAAGGAACTCTGAAAAGAACATTCAGCCCTACCTAGACGTCCCAACTTCCGTTTATTGTAGTTCCTGATTACCTCTTATGAGAATTATTAGTCTCTTGAGGGGTACTTGGGGGTACGGGTAACCCCAAACCCTAAACCCAAAGCCTGAACCACCCGTTTGAAGGCCTGCTGGTCGCTCCCTGTGGGTCACGGAATTGTATTTCGGGTTTAGGGGTTTACGGGTTTGGAGTTTAGGGTTTAGGGGTTTCAGGTTTAGGGTTTAAGGTTTAGGGGTTTCAGGTTTAGGGGTTTAGGGTTTGGGGTTTGGGGTTCAGGGTGTTCGGAGACTACTTAAAGGATCATGGGACTTAGTAGGCAGGTTATAACTGGGGTTACAAGTCCCCGAAGTGGGACTATCGTATTTATAACCAACTTCTAACCTTACTTACTATGTCCCATCGTCCTTTAAGTAGGGCCTCAAAAAAACACGCAAGCAAAAACACAGGGAAGGGATCTGCCACAAAATCGCCCGATAAGGCAGAGATATCTCCGTAAAATGCTTATGCTTACGTCCTTTTCGGGTCCCTAAGTTTCTGACAGCAAAGCGCGTACCGGCGGCGGCACACCGGCAGGAGCTTCCGAAGTTAACTGACATGGCTTCTTACCATGGTGGAATGTAAAGTATGAAGATTACAGGGGAGGTTCAGTTTGTTGGCTTCTAGTCTTAGTGACCTGAATTTTGTATGGTACAAAAGAACGAGCGACGGCTTATTAAACAGTCCCGTTTAGCCCTGCTGTTGATGGTCGTATCCTCTTACTGACAAGCAGCTAGGTGTCGATTTCAACAGATCTATTGGGACTTAGGGCTCTGTATATACATATATATATATACACATACATATACATATATATATGTGTATATATATATAGACATACATACATATTTACGTACATACATACATACGTACATACATACATACATACATATATATATATATATTGTCCAATACGGGAAATTCAGCCAACTACCTCCGAAACTCCTTAGACTCTAAGCCTAAACCCTGAAACCCTTAAACCGTCAAACCGAAACCCCTAGAGCAGAACGTGGCATCGCATGTGGAGTATTGCTCGAGATGCCGACTCTATGCCCCGATCTGCAAGAAACCACGAGAATGTCCGTCAGACGTTTCGGGTTTGGGGGTTTGGAGGAGTTAGAGTTCAGGGGTTAGGGTTCGGGGGATTTAAGTAATGATTTAAGGTTTTGGGGATTTAGGGTTTTAGGGTTTAGGGACGTCCGTTCAGAGCCTGCATATATGAAACCCAAGCCCCTCGAGCCCCAAACCTAAAGCCGAAACTCGCAGCCAGCAATCGTACTTTTTTTGCAACAAAACATCCGTACAACTTCTAAGCACTGAAAAAACGAACAGCCCTTGAAGGTGGGTTAATCAACAAAAAACATACATTACATACGATATGGGCTTTAGCCACGAGAAGAGGGATTCGACATACATCGCACAGGCTTTAGAACCAGGAGCTCAGGAACATAAACCTTCTTCAGGCTTCTATATTCTCTGACATAAAACTACGCACTCCCAAACCCCTTCAGCTGGGTTTAGGGTTTAGGGGTTTGGGGTTTCATTATTGCCGTTCTGAAGAAAACTTTACACCTTACGGTAAACTTGATAGGGATCCTCCGGATAATATCAGGTGCATTCCTTAATTGCGAGGTTTTGCAGTCTTGGACACAAACCCTTCAGCCCTAAATCCTAGAATCCAAACCTTCCTAGGAAACCTTCAATGAAGTGTATGTTGTTATATGAAAAAAAGGCCCGCTAACTAACCCCCTCGTAAGCCCAATAACACCCCGTCAGAGAATTCTTAAAAGGAGCCCTTGAAAGAGTCCTATTCTAACTATTAAGGCCCCAAACCGCAGCTCAGGGTTCCCTTACCCTAGAACCTGCTTGAATTCTTCATGCCTCCATCATAGTCACAAACTCACAAACCCTAAACTTTAGCCCTAAACTCGAAACCCTGAACCCCAAACCCTAAAGTCCTAAAACCCTAAACCCCTCAACCCCTTAACCCTAAACCCCCTAAAATTTAAAACGCCCAAACCCTAAACTGGCTCTAAACCCTAAACCCCAATTTGGACCCCAATACCCTCAAACCGTACCTTCTACGCCTCAAAGCCGAGCCCTGTGGCCTCCAGGCTCGAACCGACGCGGGCAGATCGGCAGTGCGAACGAGGCCCGCAGAGTGACGACAGAAGATGGGCACCTCGCAGAGACTCCAATATCTCTTAATTAAGGAACACCTTAGGGTTCCTTAAAGGGATCTATAGTGTTTAGGGTTTAGGAGGCACCTCGTTCGCTTCTTGTCGCTTTAATTTTCTTGGGTGGTGCGAAAGGGGGGGGGTGCTGTTTTCTGTTTGGGAAAAGTCTAATCACCTTCAGAACTTTCGAGAAGCCAACCGGTATCAGACAAATCCTACACAAAACCAACCCAGACCCCCGGGAGGATCTAGAAAGTAGATCCCCTAATTTTTTGGCCCTATACTACTAAGGGTACTTTATAGGAACCCCCATTAATTAAGGGATCTACTTTCTAGATCCTCCCGGGGGTCTGGGAAAAGAAGCCGCCAAGACAATTCCTGCACAACAGAACCAAGATTTCGGTTCCGAGCCTGAGATTTAGGGTTCCGAGCCTGAGCCCGGAAATAAGGCTGCCCTGTCTCGAAGATGAAGATGATTTAAAATGAGTTAGTAGGTAGGTGTCCTGAAAGGCTGCCTTTAAGAAATCTATAAAGCTTCTATTTGTATTTGCGGAGTTTAGGTTACTTAGAGGATTATGGGACTTGGAAAGAAGATTATAATTGGGGTCAAAATTCCCATAGGTAGGGTTGTTATAACCTACTTCTAACCTTACTTACTAAGTCCCATGACGCCTTTAATCTTAAGTATAGGGCTGTTGATAACTCTTTGGGTTTGCTGCAGTAAATAGCGAAAATGTCTCGTAAAGGAAATCTAGTTGCCCCGCTAGCTAAACAGGAAAATCACGCAAACATAGTGAAACGGTCCAAACAACTAGTAGTGATCTCACCTGTGCAAAGATATGTGCCCGAACCATCTTGTTATTAAGAACCCTATGTTACTACAGCCGAGGTGCATTGGCGAGCACCTCGCTGAGGTTGAGGTAGTGCCCTTGCACAAGGGGCTTGGAGTTTCAGGTTTGTGCGCCTTCAAGGCACTAGGGTTCTGCGCCTTGAGGGGTTTAGGTAGAGCTTTTAAGTTTTACGGGGGGGCTTTATGGTTGCAGAGATTGAACACGCCGCATACCGTGCACCAAGGTCTCTAAGCGCTGCATAAGACTGGTTGCTGCTGTCACAGAGCGCTGTACTACAGGGGCCTCAAAAAGTGGAATAGCGTACTGTGGCCCACTAAAAAGCCAAAATAAGGAGCCCCCCAAAATAGTATCGGTAATGATTTAGGCTCCTGCATTAAGCAATGGTGTGGGCATAGGGCGGCTATATGGGTGGTTGTCAAAATTAAGGTCCCTTTTTGGGTCCTTATTATAATACGGCACCTAATATTTAGGGTACCCAAAAAGGGGCCATAATTTTGACAACCACCCATATAAACGCCAAAACGTGAAAGCTTATCTACTCAGCTACTACTAAGAAACCGATAAGTTGTCCATTGGCTTTTAAGTTTAGGGTTTAGGGTTTAGGGTTTAGGGTTTAGGGTAAACTTTTGGCATGCTGCGCCGAAGTCTGAGTTGAGGGCCTGTATGGGTTGAGGCATGGTGGTCCGAAGTGATACTAAACCTACGATTGATGATATAAATCCTGCATTACCCATAATAAGGAATATGCCATAATTCCCATAGTTTAGGGTCCTTAAGGTAATGCAGGATTTAGATCATCAACCGTAGGATGCCCAGTAACCTAGGAATAAAACGGGCTCCCTTTTTGGTACTAGTATTGGGTATCTGTATAAGGAACCCAGGACTACATAAAGGGAATCAGGGTACTACTGGGCATCCTAGAAACCTTCAACCCCAATAACGAAACCTGAACCCTAAACCCCAAACCCTAAACCCTACTCACCAAGTCCCATGATCCCTTAAGTAGGGCTCCATCCCTGTATGGTGGTCCGTAGTGCTGCGAAACAAACAACCCCAACCCTAAACCCTAAACCCCAAACCCCAACCGCTGAACCCGAAACATCACCAGGAGGCCATGGAACAACTAATATAGGGGCCTTAATAATTACCTATACTATTCTAGGGGTTCCTTACTATAATTATGGTATAATGGGCCCCAAAACCCTCAATGTCCGAAACCTTCGGAGCCCTCGCTGCCCGAGGCCCGGACAGAAAAGCTACAGAACAACTGAAGCCCCAACACCATTCAGGGATTCCCCTTACCCTAAGTCAGATGAGCCTTTCAGTAGCAAGGTCCTAAACCCCTGTAGATCCCTTAAAGGAACCCTTATAGTACTCCTTACAGGAACCTTACAGGGAACTCCAGAACGTTGGAATATGGTTTCATGGTAGGATACCCTACAATTTACCATAGAAGGGTTAGGATAATCATATTCCAAGTTTCTGGCTTTCACCTTAAGGGTTCTGAAGGGTTCTTTACAGGTTCTGCTTTAGGGTTTGGGCGGTTCCAAAGTTCAGAAGCCCCAACACCCCGAAACCTTCCTAAATCCCTAGCTTAGTTCGGGAATATACGATAAACCATACTAGAGATTCTACTCTGGTATATCTGTTAATCAAAGACATGGGAAGATCTGAACCCTACTCAAAGGCTCCAGCGACGAGGGTTCAGGGTTTGGGTTTTTCCTTAAAGGCTCAAGGGACTTAATACGTAACTTATAGGCAATGGTCTCAATACTATAATCCCACTTACGGGACCTCTAGCCCGTGTTTTGCCGTACTTACGAAGTCCACTGAGCCCTTACTTAAGTAGTGTTTGCAACCTTAAGCGGTGCTTCTAAACGCTAGACCCTAAACCCAAACTATTCCCCGGAACGCAGTGTTTTGGGGTGCACCCCATGACCGACAACACCACCGCCTTGTGCGCTGGCTGTCGTTGCACCGCAGGGGCAAGGCCTTCGAGCGCTCTTGATTTGGGGTCCTCGGGTCTGTAGGGCTCCTCTAAGTTCGAAGTTGCTGAGATCATGAGCTGCCAAAATCTAAACTTTCGGTTTCACAGGGGATACAAATGTCCCCCTAAGTGTCAAGCGGCCTCATTCAGGTAGTAATTCATTTTTTATTACGGAGTTTGGGGTCTATAAAGCCAAGATTCAGGGCTTCCGGATTTGCGAGCTTCGGCTTTTGACTGTCTGGTCTGGATGTTGAATCTGGGCTTGGGGTTTCGGGCGTTCCAGCGTCGGGGTTTGGAGCTTTCACGACTTTAAAAACCGGGGTTAGGGGGGGTGTAGAGTGTTGAGGTCTTGAGGGAGATTTCAGGAGACATGCACTCCCACCAGCTTTTCAAAAACACTCAACACCCCAAACCTTTAGCCTCTCAAAACTTAACCCAAAACCTAGTGCAATCCCCAACCTCCCAAACAGAGGGTGTATTCCAACTTGACATCCCGATAGAACTGCGGTACTGTATACCATACCCCAGAACCCTTAATGCCCTTGAAAGACCCGAATCCACCATGCCCGAACTGCAAAAGCCATTAAAGCATGTTTTGAAGCCAAGGTGCAATTTCGTGTCGTAGGACACGTGCGGTAGCCAAGCCTCCGCGTAGAAGGCATGTGGCTGCGAATTGTACAGGGTTTGGGGGAAGCGTCTTGAGGGATGTTCAATCGGTCTATGGCAACGGGACCGCGACACTGGTGGCTTCTGTCGCAAATCGTACATCCCTACATCGTACGCAACAATACAGAGTATTTGGGAGAGTATAACCTTTAGGGTAACCCGTGACCCTGAACCGCAGAGCGTGCATGCGCAGACACGCCTCTGTTTCCTATGTGTGGTGGTTTCGGATTTTAAAAACTGGGGAACCACAGGTAGCTCTTCTAGTAAGATTTGGGCTTCAGGGATTAATGTCGGCTGTTCGGGTGGGGTTTAGGGCTCAGGTTCAGGGTGTGTTTTCGGGATCATCAGTGCACTCGAAAACCGTGAAACGCTGGATCTTACATTGCCGCTCTGCCATCAGATGCCCAACCCCGAACTCTCCCCCTGTGCGGGTGTGTTGGGCCCTCATCTCTGAACTTTCTGCACTTAAAAGCCCGAACCCTGAACCCTACAACCCCTGCACCCTCGTGCCCTACACCATTGCATGACACCCCACAGCCATAACCCGTGAACCTGGAAAACAACCGGCTACAAGTCCGATGGGGCCTCCAGCGCGGCGTGTAGAGATCCAAGAAGATCCTTCGGCTCTCTTCCACCGGGGATTTGAGAGTTTCCGAAAATAGGGGACCCTAATATAGTACCCTAAATAGTAGGATCCTCATTTTAAGGACCTGAAAATCGGGTACCCCTAATTTTCGGAAACTTCCCTTTCGACAGTGACCATAACCGTAAATCTTACACTCTCTTGTTCAAGACCTGGGCCCAAAAACGTTCTAAACTTCTCCAAGATAGACTAAAATTTATGGGGCCAAAATGTTTGAAGCTCTCTTATTGGCTACCTAAGTATAACTTTAGAGTGAGCCTAAGACGGTTTAAGGTTTAGGGTTTAAGGTTTAGGGTAGAATAGTAAATGGCCCCTACATCCAAAAACTAAAAACACAAGCTTAATCTTGGACACTGAATCTTAAACCTGAATTTGCCCTAAGTGTCCAAGCCCAAACTACACCCTGCTACGATGAGTTCCAGATGCCCAAACCGATTCCGAAAGCCCCACCCCACCCCTGACAGGCATGAGGCTTGCAGCTTTAGGGCACGGCATAGAGAGTACCACGGAGCAATGGGGGCGTTGCTAGGCCCTGTACCTCCTTTTCCTTAAGGTTCCTACCAACGCCCTAACCAGGAACCTAAAACCCAAACCCTAAATCCAAAAAACGCTGACTCCCATTTGCGTTCAGGCTTGTAGGGTGGAGGGACTTGGGTTCAAAGAAGCCCTACTTGGAGGGGCAGGGGGCTTAGTAAGTCGTTTATAGGAAGTAGGGTTATAACTGGGGTGACTCCATCTAGGGTACATATAACTCTACTTATAACCTACTTACTAAGTCCCCTGCCCCTCCAAGTATGCTCCTTGTAGCCCGGGTTCAAATAAACACTAAACCCTAAAGCATCGGAAAGGAAACCAGAACTACTAGGTAGTACTACTAGGTTGGGGCCTCAAAGCGCGCAATCACGTCAACGAGGGAGGGTCCAATATCAACCCTACTCTGAAGCACCGAGGGGCCTCCAAATTCGTCAAGGCCGACCTCGGACCCATGCGGAACATCAAAGGCGAAAAGGGGGGAGCCTTAATGGGGACCCCTACCCCTAGGGAAGAGGGTTCCTTTAAAGGGGTCTATAAGGACTACTATAAGGGGCTATATTTGCTATATTGAGGGTTAGGGTTTAGGGTTTAGGATATAATGGGCTCTATAATGAGTATATAATAGCTATACTCAGGGTATATACCTAGGGGTCCTGATTAAAGGTCCCTCCCTTTACCCTTGGAGAAAAGCACATAAGCAATAACAAGGATAGGGCTATCCCATATGGGTGGTTGACAAAATTATGGTCCCTTTTTGGGTACCTTGAAAAATAGGTGCCAAACTCTATTAGGGAACCAAGAAGGGACCATAATTCTGACAACCACCCATATGAAACCCCCTTCTACCGAAGCCCAATAAAGTAGGGATATCCCTATAAACTGCTTATGCTTACCTTCACCCCAAGTAACCTACCTCTTTAAAGACTTACATAAAGAAATCATATTAGGGAACCCTAAAAATGTAGGTTGGTTCCTTAGGGTCCAGGTATGTCCTCTAACAGATCCTGTTGTTTTGCAGTGAAGCCCAGGAGCTGGGGGACGGGTTCAAGAGTAACTGCATGTCAGAGTTTAGCGTTTTGGGTTGAGGGGTTTTGGGCTTAGGGTTGAGGGGTTTAGGGTTTAAGGTTTTGGGGTTTAGGGTTTTTGGGTTTAGGGTTGAGGGGTTTAGGGTTTTGGGTCTAGTAGGGTTTGGGGTTTTGGGGTTTTGGGTTGAGGGTTTTGGGCTTAGGGAAATTTTCGGGATGGTTTTGGGTTTTGGGTTGAGGGTTTTGGTCTTAGAGAAAGATGATGGGGTTCGATTCAGAAGGCCTCCGGGAAGACTACGAAGATGACTAAGTTGGTATAAGTTGGGTACGGCCCCCATACAGTAACAGTCTATACTAGGGCTACTGTTCAGGTCCTAGTATGTATATTGTGAATATTATCCAACTGTTACGGAGAGGGGGCAGTACCCAAGGTATAAGCCCCACATGGCCCCACTCATGCAGCAAAAGCTTCTTCGGTGTGCTTGCAACTACCACGCGTCGAACCCGAAACCCTAACGCCCGAATCCCTCGAAACCCAAAGTCCCAGTAGTGAGCTGAACAATCCTTTAAGGCGCAACCTCAAGTGACCAGAACAGAACCATTGTGGACCCCTTGTAGATCTCTTTTCAGGAACTGTTAAAGGATTATAGAAGCCTGACCAAAACAAACCCCTAAACCCTAAATCCCTAAACCTCTAGCTGCTTTGCATCCCCCGCACAAGCCCAACAAACGACAGTGTTCAACCCACAGAGCCAATTTAACATGACATCAGGGTTTAGAGCTTGGAAGCTTCAGGGCTTAAGGCTTGGAGATGTTTGGAGTTTAGGGTGTAAGGCTTAGTTGGAAAAATAACGGAACGATGGGCCTAAACCACCAGCACTAAACTCTCAACCCTGACCCCCGAGCCCTAAACCCCGCCAACGCTCTAGCCTTACGCTTCGCCGTAAAGGTCAGCAGTCAAAACAACCGTAAAGCCCGGCAGCCAGCAGCCCTAACCCCTGAAGTAGTCATGGTACTTAGACGCCCATGGGACTTAGTAAGTAGGCAAAAATTGGGGTTAAAAGTTATAAGTCCCCTAAGTGGGGTTATCCTGGTTATAACCTACTTCTCACCTTACTTGCTAAGTCCCATGAGCCTTTAAGTATACCCTAAACCCTAAACCCTTATTATAGAACCCTACAGTACCCTTAAAGGGAACCCTAAGCCCTTACTTACTAAGTCCCATGAGCCTTTGAGCACAGGAACCCTAAACCCCTATAGGTCCCTTAAAGAAACTCTGAGAGTAAGGTCCATAAACCCTAAACCCTTATTATAGAACCCTATACCCTTAACCCTACACCCCTAAACCCTAAACCCCTCAACCCTAAGCCCCTAAACCCTAAGTCCCATGAGCCTTTCAGTAGCAAGGTCCTACACCCCTATAGATCCCTTAAAGGAACCCTCATAGTACTCCTTACAGGAACCCTAAACCCCTATAGGTCCCTTAAAGGAACTCTGATAGTCTAGGATACCCAGTAACCTAAGAATAAGAAGGCCTCTCTTTTTGGTATTGGGTAACTTTATAAGGAACCTAGGACTACAACAAGGGAATAAGGGTACTACTGGGCATCCTAGTCATAGTACTCCTTACAGGAACCCTAAACCCAAACAGGTCCCTTAAAGGAACTCTGATAGTGATGGGAGGCCAAAAGGGGGGCTTAAGATTCTTGGGGTAGGGATTCCTTAATATGAACCCTATTATGGGAACCCTAATCCCTACTAAACCCCCATAGGCTAAAACCCCATTTGACCTCCCATGAGATAGTAAGGTCCATGCGGGTCGGCTGCGGTCACCTCAACTTTCAGCACCTCGGGCGCCTCTTGGCTGGTTTTACTGGGTTTTGCAGGGCATTCTAGGGTTTAGGCGGTTTAGGGTTTAGGGTCCGTTTAGGGTTTAGGGCTTTAGGATTTAGGGTGTTCTAGGGCTCTTGTATATTTGGCAGGATTTTTCAACTTTGTTTACAAGGTTTTCCAAAGTTCTTCTGGGCTTTATGGGTTTTATGTGGGGGCCTGAATAATTGGAAAGAGGTCTTGGGGTATGTTATCGTATCATCATATTCGGACTGTAAGGGGAATTCCGGCCCGTGTATTATGGTGCGGTCTATGGCTGTGGCGCAGCCAAGGGTGCAGGGCTTTTGTGTAAGCAAAAACTATAGGCTTTAGGGCTGGTGGATGGGCGGTGCTCGCCTCAACCCTAAACCGTACTTAAAGGCTCATAGGACTTGGTAAGTAGGTTATAATTCGGATGATAAGTCGCCCAAGTGGGGTTATCCTAAGTTTAACCTACTTATAACCTTACTTACTAAGTCCCACGAACCTTTAAGTCATCGTGACATCTTGACTGTTGCGTGAGTAGCTCGTCGTGTTCTGTACCCGCTGGGCCCGAACCCCCTCAGGGGTGCTTTTAGAAAGCTCATTTAACTCCTAAAAGCCTACAAATCCGTAGCTAGACTCTGAACCCGAAACCCTACACCGAACCGGGAGTTAGGCAGATGGCCGGTTATCTGAATTCGGGTCCCATTTTAGGCCCCCAGGGTTCCGCTAAGGGGGTTTCGGGTCCCTTTTCGGGTTTAGGATGGCTTTAAAGGGATCCTTAATGATCTATAATAGGGGCCGATATAGTACGGCACCCTCATTAAAAAGGAGCCTAAAGGGACGTATTTAAGAGAACTACCTAGATGTTGCTATTATGACTTCGGCTTTCCCGGCGGCGGCCGCCTACCGTTTCGGGGGCGGGA